TATATATATATATATATATATATATATATATATATATATATACACATACACACACACACACACACACACACACACACATACACACACACACACACACACACACACACACACACACACACACACACACACACATATATATATATATATATATATATATATATATATATATATATATATATATATATATATATGAGAGCATGAAGTAACAGAACCTGATATCTCGGTAGAAAATGATAAAGGCACTAGAAGATATCAGCATTAAAAAAAAGAAAAAAGGAATCTATCTATAAATTGTAAAACACCGGTACAACACCGAAGAACATGTCTGGATAAATGGTTATCACATTGCCGAAAGAAAGCCAGATAATGCGAGTTACATGGAATGATTAGCCTAATGAGTTACTTTATAAAGCTAATGTTGAAAATCCCAATGAAAAGGACGAAAAGGTGTGTACGACAAGAAATTGTAGATGATCAGCGCGGATTCAATGAAGGAAAGACATCTGCTATTGCGGTTATCAAAATAATAGATTACAGCAAATGGAAAAGAGATAAAACAAGTTGAAAAATCAACAATAAAGGAAGCTTTTTAACAACTAACGGAAAATTTAATCGTGAAAAGACATTAAGCAAGAAGACTGTTTTAACAAGTTTTAACCATGTTAGCGAGACAATAAATTGTTACGGGTCTATCCTATATGGAGACGTGAGTATCTGTCATGCAAAATTGCTTGAGGGCAACGGAAGTGTTCTTTGACAAAAATGTAGAATAAGCAAGTCCTAACAATTGCAAAAGTAATCTCTCAAAGACCATAAAAAATTACATTTTTAGAACACGTAATTCGCAGAAATGGAATAGAGAACCTGTCGCTAACTGAGGAAGTAGAGAGTAAAAGAACAAGAGGCAGACATAGAATGAAGTATTTGAGCAACATCAAAGAATGGACTTACACGACAAATGGAAATACCAAAATAGAGAAGCGTTGAAAAGGCATAATAACCAACACATTCGTGGATGACATGCTAGAAAACCTCCAAAAAGACGAATCGGCAACTGTTTGACAATCAGCTGATCCACCACAACAAAGACGAGTCAGACGGAGGAGAATCAACAGCTGGTATACGCACACTTACTCGATTCTCCTTCTCTCTTTTCTCTCGTGATGAGTCGACGAGGTCGTAGGGCACCAGAGGAGGTCATTAGAAAAATGGAAGAGGAAGAAGAGGAACGGTTTATTATACCGCAAGTTCAACCAGAAGGTGAGAGGTGTTTATTTTTGCGTAAAGAAATAATTTTAGTATTTGCTGAATGTATAAACTATTGATCGCTGTTGTTGATTGTGGTAGTACATACACGCATTTAGGTTTGGTTAAAAGATTTTCATGTACGTCAATGCTAATTTAGGGTTACATTAATAAAATACTATGGTTATATTATAAAATCAGAAGCAAGATTTTTAACAAATGTTACATAATTTCAAAATTGTTTTGAATCCCTGTAATTAGTACCAAGACTGTAGTTTGGTTTGCGTGCAAAAATTATTTGGTCAAATTCTGTCTGCACAAATGTAGGTCTTGGGTAACTTTCAGTGCATGCATGAAAAAATGTAATATTCCCTGTGCAAAAAAAAATGCTCTACAGTCTGGAGTAGTAGTACTGTAGCATGTAATGTAGATATTTAGGTAATGGTTAAATTTCATCCAGCCACCTTTTATACGTAAAATGATATTTACAAATAAAAGACTGGATAAATCGTAAGTATGGGTTGAGTTTCAGCTAGGCATCTTTTATACCAAATTGGAAATCGAGCAAATTTTCACAGTGACGCTGATCTTGTGTCACAGCCATGATCATTTATGTTGTTCCAATTTTCTCTCTTGCAGATATTTAAATTCCATGTCTAACACAACACAAGAAAACAAACCCCACCCATATTTAAGAACAAACATGAATAACAATTACTTAATTATTGTCTCTTCAGAAGATTATTATTAAAAGTGAAAAATTATCACTGTTGCTTGTACTATGAATGTCCTTTGCTCACAAGCCACAGCCCATACGTTGTTGTTGCTCGCTACGACTCGTCCTTGAAAAACAACATATTTTCCAACCGGGCTTTTATACAATAAATAGTATGTGCAAATAATAGAGTAAATGATTCTAAGAAACTTATCTTCCATGTAATTTCATTGCAAATAAAGAATAACAAAGTCCTTTGTTAAGGACTTTGTTAACCAAGTGCCAATGGGTAAAAATGTTTGGCAAGTGGACGTAAGAACGTGATTGTTGGTGTGCATCGGTAGTTTCTCCTGTTTGCGCCTGTCTCGATCGGTAGTTTGTAAGTGACATTTGGCACCTAAAAGCTTTTATATTGCTAGAATTGATTAAAATATTATAATTTTGAAGGTTTACCTTCATTATAGGTACCATTGCCTAAAATCTTTACCATAGAAATGAAGCCGCTACTATCGGAGAAAAACAAACTCCGTCAAATGAGCCAGTGGTGAGGGAATGGGCATGATACAATGCCATTTGTGTTTCAGTCCACAACAGCCATGGCATGTACATACTTGCCACCCGTCGGCTATGGGTTAAGGAGGCAGCAAGCAGGCCTAAATTACCTCCCTGTTTTTTCCATTCCTTGTATTTTTATATATTTTCTAAAACCATTAATATTGGTACTGCCATTCTTGTTATAATCATTTTTGACATTATGATTGGTAAATCTTTTTGGGTTCACATGATACCCTGGTTTTGGAACTTCATTTGTGGAGGGTGCATCACTCTTGGTACCAAGTACCAGATCAGGTAATTGACTTCTTAGTGACAGCTTTTATGTTGCCATCTGTTTAAGCCTATCATGAAGGGGCCAGAAATTTCTGTGATATAATTTTGTAACAGTCTAGTCTTTCTGGCAGGGTTTGTGCTGTGTGCAGCCTGCCCACCTGAAGTTATGACAAGTGTATGTGGAATACATGATTATGGTATGACAGCTATAGCCATACCCATCACTTAGAGCTTGCTTTAACAGTCAGGATATAGACTGGTGATATAATGGATTGTGAGTTGTCACTGTTGTATCTTTGTCTGTTTTATTATTTGCCATGATGTGATAGTGTAATGGATGGGGTGTATCTACTACATAGCTGGTGGATTACTTCTTTATGTGAATAAATGGTGTGGGTCTGAGTTGCCATTGTGGTGGCTGGATACTGTAGGGTAGTGGAGATCTATGGTAGAGCTGGGGAGGCTCCCCAGGTGGTAAAGGAAAAAGTTGTCCTGTATCATTGCTCAGCTGAGGTTTTGACTGGAGTTAGGTGTTTCATTGACACTTTAGAGTATTGTGTAGTCAATTTGGCCACCCTTACCCTCCTTTCCCCTCCTTCCCCCCCAACAGCCAGCACACAAATCAATGTGATATGTACTTACAGTGTCGTGCACTTCAGCTGAATTGAGATTGAGATTGTGAAGATTTCTATGGCCAACATGGGTAAGTGTGCAACTCTGTCCTTTCATCTCTGTTTTATCCCCCCAATGCCATGCCATGCCATGCCATGCCATCCCATCCCATCCCATCCATCCCATCCCCCATCCCATCCCATCCCATCCCATCCCATCCATCCCATCCCATCCCATCCATCCCATCCATCCATCCCCCATCCCATCCCATCCCATCCCATCCCATCCCATCCCATCCCATCCCATCCCATCCCATCCCATCCCATCCCATCCCATCCCATCCCATCCCATCCCATCCCATCCCATCCCATCCCATCCCATCCCATCCCATCCCATCCCATCCCATCCCATCCCATCCCTCTCTACATACACATGCACATCAACCCACCTCTCTGTCATTGACTATTATTCCCTCTGTCTTCCAGGATGTTTTGGAGCGAGACATGTCTTGGCTCTCATGGGTTTCCTTGGATTTGCCAATGTTTATGCGATGAGAGTCAATTTGTCAGTTGCGATTGTTGCAATGGTCAACAACACAGCCATTCCACATGTTAACAAAACAGAGTCAGATGCTTGCCCAGTGCCAAGTGCCAACCAAACTGAGCCCAGTCAGGTGTGTACTGTGGGAAGTTTTTTGTTTTGTTTTGTTTCTTGTATATATTACTAATGTGATAGTATACTTTGCTAATAAGGATTATTTACTCATTGCTGCCAGGGATGGTATACATGTACATACCATGCCCCCTGAGAGTTTCATTTATTGATTTATTTATTATTTACATGTAGATGATGGCTCCACAAGTGCTCATTCACGGAGTCAATTACTAGTCCTACCCATCTCACCTGTACCCTTTTCCATGGTTTTAAGAAATATTAGTTTATATTCTGTATTGATACTAGTATTGTTAATAATCATAATATTGATAATGATAACAGAATCTATATTATTAGTAGCAATTGAAGAAAACAATTACCAAAAATTTGGTGATTGATCACTTGTGAAACTATCTATGCGTAAACACATTACAAAAAAAAAAAAAATTGCAGTGAACATTACATGTTCTAGGCAGCAAAGAGTTAACGTACATAGTTGATATATATTTTTGATAAACAGAAGTATATTTGATAAATGGTTACTGTACGGTGTTATATGTTCTTATAGATGTAACTAATATATGACGGATATGGGAAGCTTTTTTTTTTTGTGCGTGTTTATGAAAAATGCATTACTGTACCTTACTATCTTTTGCTATGCATAGACTTAATGTTAATTCCTGCTTCGTATGATATTGTAACCTTGTTACTCTTTTCAGGATGGAGAATTTGTGTGGACTGAATCTGAACAAGGTATCATCCTTGGTTCATTTTTCTGGGGTTACGTTCTGACCAACATGGTGGGAGGAAGGTTGGGTGAGGTCATTGGTGGAAAGCTTGTTTTTGGATTTGGTGTGCTAGTTACAGCTATATTGACATTGCTGACTCCTGTTGTAGCACGGGCAAGCACCCCTTTGCTGATTGCTCTTCGGGTTATTGAGGGGCTAGGAGAGGTAAGTTAGTACTTATTATTACATAATGTAGTATATAGGTTTTATGTAGTGATTATTTTCTTTTTTTCCTTTTTTCTTTTTCTTCGTTCATAGTCCTGATATTCTAATGGCATGTAATACTTAATTGTTTGTCTTACAGTGGTTTATACATTTCCACTGATGCATTTCCTAGCCTATTTTGCTTTTCACTTTCAACCAAAGTGCAAATTTCATGTGTAGTCCATGACACTTTAGTGATAAAATCCTGGACCCAAGGGTGTCAAGAGATGTTATTGTAGCTGTATTTAGTTGAATGACTGAGCTAGTGGCAAACCATAGGATGTTGATTGTCACCTGCTGATAATTAATGTAAAATAGATGTCATTGGTGTGCTTATTTAATCTCACTTCTTCATTCACTTCAAAGACTATGAAAAAACCATGGTAAGGGCTAGATACTGTCAAACTTGCCTTTACTCTATGTATATTCTCTCTCTTTTGTTACCACTAATCCAGCCACATTTAGTATATGAAGAATAGCAAAAATATATACATGTTATAAGAATTCAGTTAGCATATTTTAATAACTTTCTCTTTCCTAAAGGGAGTGACATTTCCTGCAATGAACTCGATGATGGCAAAATGGATCCCACCTTTAGAGAGGAGCAAAATGGGCTCGCTGGTTTATGCTGGTATGTCAGACAGGTCCTCTGGGCTCTGCTTTTGTATCTGGATTTTTTATTATGATCAGAATTATAGTTGTGATTTTTATTTTTGATGTTATTTTTTCATCTTTATCATTATAATTGTTATTGTTAGTTATTATTGTCATTATTGTTATTGTTTTATTACTATTACTATTACTATTTCTATTACAATTAGTATTAGTAAGTTAGTTTTTAAGTTTTGGTTGATTGGTTAGCAGGATAACTCCAAAAGTTATCAACAGAAAGTATGATTTTATTTCTAGAGATATGTCTTAGCCTAACTAAGATGCCGTTGAATTTTGATGGTGATCCCGATCATGATCAGAATCTAGGAATTTTTAAAATGATTGCATAGTTACCCCTATTGCCTTTATGGATGTCACCAGTGGTACGTGTGAAAGAGGTGATTTAAATGTAATTCTTCAAGTGTGAATATTTTTATTGCATCAGTGACCCTGCTGCCTTGGCAGAGGTATGCACTTTCTGAGTGCTTCTAGTTGTTATTGTCATAATTATGATTTTGGTTTTTGTTCTGGCCATAGTTATGGTTATTGTTTTTGTTTTTGTTATTGGTATGATTATGATTATGATGATGGTTATTATTATTATTGTTGTTATTATTGTTATTTTAATAATTATGATTATTATTATTGTCATTATCATTATTGTTAATATCATTATTATCATTATTGTTTTGTTATTATTATTACTATTATCATTGTTATTACTGTTGTTATTATCATTATCACCATTATTTTCTTTATTATTATATTCCTTAGTATTATTGCTTATGAATTATCATTTAAGAAAGAGAAGTAGTAGTTATACCATGTGATGAATAACATTAACTTGAACGCGGCTTCACCAAGTGGATAGTAAAGTATTGTAAGAAAATGAAAGGTAGTGGCCTTGAATGCCTTACATCATAATGCAGTCATTGATAGCATAAGAGATAATCTAGAGGTTAGCATTGTCCTTCACTGAAAATTTACCTAAAATGGGAAACAGTTTGATAAAAGATAAGAAGAGGCATTTTTAGCTATTGGGGCAAGGTTGACAGACTATATATTGTAACTTTCGAATAATTGAAAGATATGATGTTTATGGTTTCCTTCTCCCTCTCTAAGTGAACAATGGGTTACAGTTGATTGGTGGGAGTAATTTAAACACATTCTAGTAATGAAGATTAGTAATAGGGGCAGCATTACCCTCCTCCTCCTTCTCCTCCTTCTACCTTCCTCCTCTTCTCCTCTCCTTCTCCTTTTCTCCTTCTCTCTCCTTCTCCTTCTTCTTCTCCTTCTTTCTTCTCCTTCTTCCTCCTTCTTCTTCTCCTTCTCTCTCCTTCTCTCCTTCTCCTTCTCTCCTCTCCTTCTCCTCCTTCTCCTCTCCTTCTCCTTCTCCTCTCCTTCTCCTTCTCCTTCTCCTCCTTCTCTTCTCCTTCTCCTCTCTCTTCTTCTCCTCCCTTCTCTCTCCTTCTCTTTTCCTCTCCTTCCTCCTTCTTCTTCTTCCTCCTCCTCTCCTCCTCCTCCCTCCTCCTCCTCCTCTCCTCCTCCTCCTCCTCCTCCTCTCCTCCTCTCCTCCTCCTCCTCCTCCTCCTCCTCCCTCCTCCTCTCTCCCCTCCTCCTCCTCTCTCCCTCCTCTCTCCTCCTCCTCCTCCTCCTCCTTCCTCCTTCCCCTCCTCCTCCTCCTCCTCTCCCTCTCCTCCTCCTCTCTCCTCCTCCTCCTCCTCCTCCTCCTCCTCCTCCTCCTCCTCCTCCTCTCCTCCTCCTCCTCCTCCTCTCTCCTCTCCTCCTCCACCTCCTCCTCCT